CGATATTCAGCATAGGGCCCGATTGGCCACACCTGCTAAAAGTGTGAACTCGCCTTGCCACTGATTTTCAAGTATGGCGTGGCTAATCATCTGTCAAAGCACGCTTCAAAAAATATCGCAGTTTCTTGCTAATTTCAATTATGGAAAGGTAGCCAAACTTTAATCATAGCATTTAGCACATGAAAATAATATTCGATTTCAATCGAAAAGATATTAAACATCTTGAAATTATTACACCACATAAAGTTCTTTCTGATACTGATGTATCAATTTTACCGCCACTGCATTGGTAAATGATGCAGACATATTTGAATCTCACACCCCTGTTCTGCAACACTTTCGTATTCGGATTTTGCTACGAATCGTAGGAATGGAATGCTGCAATCCGAATCGTATCTTCGAACTTTCGAAATTCGTAACAATGGCATGCCTAAAAACGAACGAGTAAGCTTTTTTGCGTAATTTTGTACGAAAACAATTCTGAGGCCATTCGGTGGCGAGAAACAATATGTAAATCGATGTGTGTTTGCGGGAAATATTAGTGTTGTTTATTTAAACCAGGGCTGCAAGCCGGTTTTGAACCGAACAGGTTTTTGAACCGAACCGTCGCTTTTTTCGGGCTTCGAACCGAACCACGAACCGAACCGTTTTTATTTTTAAATGCCAAAACCGAACCCAAACCCATCCCAAAAAACTGGTTCGATTTGGTTCAAAATGAAAATCCACTACAGCATTTTTCAAGTTTTGTAATACACAAATTTGTCTAAAAATGCAACCGGTATAGTAAAACTGCAAAAATTTTTTTTGTGTAATGGCAACTCCGCGAGTTGTAATTTCGTCCATATAAAGAATGCTTGATTTTTTTTCTTATATGAAAAAATGCTTAACAACGCCAACAAAAACAAAATTTCAAAAACTTGATTTTTTAGTTCTGATTAAATAGTTTGGAGCTTTGATGCAACGTTGTTGAAGTTTGCGGTTCTTCAAATTTACATACAAAGTTTGAGATTTGAATTTATGTGCTTTTTATTATATAAAGAGCAATACTTGTATAAAAAATTTGTGGACATTAAACCAACAAATAGTCAAAAGCCGCACTCATATTATTTTGACCATAGGAATACTTGTACATAGGCCTACATTGTGTACGCTCCAACCTACCGAAAATTATGGTTTCAATATTAAGCCAAGATTTTGAGGATCAATTCAAAATTCTGATTATGCTGCTTTGTGTACCCGACTAGCTAGGCTCACCATTTGTCCAAACCTTAAAAAGTTTACTAAAATTTGTCTAATTTCGCCTTAATCGTGTTGATTTTAAATAATTTTTTTGTTGAAGGTATTATGCATTTTCTTCCATACAAAAAATTGAAAAATTTAAAAAAAAATTAAAAATTGTCAATAGTCAACTTAAAACTTTAAAATTTTTCCTAGAAGTTCTTATTAAAATATTTGCAATTTAGATAAAACTTTTCAGAATATTTATAATTTTACACAAAGTTTAAAGCTTGGACCTTATATGGTTAAAAAACTAAACATTAATAAA